GAACATGCGAAAAATGATAAACTTGGAAAGCAGAAGAAAGCAGAATTTGAATTTTACAAAGCAGAAAATTCTGGACCTTAGGTTTTTAGCCTTTGCCAGACAATATCGAAATCCATGCATCTCCAAACAAATTTCAAATTCAGAAGTTCAGTTATTCTTACCAAGTATAGTACATTGTCATGAAATATAATAGCCTATTGACACTATTGTTATCATTTGCTACTGCAAAAAAAAAGGAAGACAATATGGTCACAAAAAAAGAGGGAAGGCACATACAAATAACACACAAAGGACAAACCTTTGCCAACATGGCCAAGGAATGGCAAAAGTAACAAATTTACCACTGCCCGTAGACCTGCCACTCCTGAATGTCATGATTGACTATAGCTAACAAGATCTACAGCCGATTTCAGAAAACTTTAGGCAATAGCGCAACTTCTCTTACGCAGGCCTTGAATTCTGCAGCGGCCACGACGGCCATTGCCCTCGGTGACCCTCTCTTTTGGCTGTGGTGCCTCGGCAAAGTGACCGTGTTTCACCGCCAAGATGGCAGTGCCCTTTTTTTTCTCTTGGCTGTAGTACCCAACACGTGCATATCGACTGCCCCCGTTCAGTGAGGTGCATGGAAAGCAGCATGGGAAGCGACATACACATCCTACCATGATTGTTCACATTCGACCGGAACACATGCATGCATATACAGGGCATGCGTGCACGGTGTGTATGTGGGGATATTGTACACTCAGCCCACCCCGCACCGGCGGCCCGGCCCGTGCCATGCACACTGTACCATCGCCAGCGCGGTACAGGCAGTGTTCCCATGTAACAACCCCCCAGCCTATCCAACGACTGAACATAACAGCGCATGCCCAAGCCAAACATTTTAATGTACCATGCAATAATGTTGGTTTAAAACTAAGCACTCATCAACTGGTACATGTTAACGGTGTATTGAGAGCTCCATGTTTTTCATGCACATGGGACAATTGTATGGTCATTGCAGTATTTTAACTAACATCGCAATGTAGGGTTTGCAGTTTAGTGCTACGCGCCGCACATGATCCCAACTGTACATACACGACATTGGTCGATCGGGACTACCCTGATTCTCATGTACGTTGTGTACAAAATCACTCAGGTGACTTGGCCTGGCTAGTTTTTGTGGTAGGCAGAATGCCGAGGAAGGAACGGCTGAAGTCAAAATGGGCCAAAGCCTGTCAACACTCAGCTGCTCGTTCGGCACTAATCACGGTGTTCAGGTAAAATGTATATCCTACTTTTTCTGAGGCCCAAATGAATACTGATTTTCATGCAATCTAAAAAAAAAAAACCCAAAATTTGAGATGGCATGAATGCCCATTACTTTGGTATGTTGATGGCATTAAATGCCCTCATGTTTGGCATTAGTCCCTTTCATCTAAGTCAGTCCACAAATGCCAAATGGCAGTGCCCTAGAAAAAAAAAGAAATACAAGGCCTGGTTAGGCAAGTTTTCGCTGAAATCAACTACAGTTGCACAGCTGCGGCATAAATTTGTAGTGCAACGCGTATGCATAGTTCAAAGTTACATCACGTTTCGTGAAATCAGCTGCCAGTCACCCATACAAAATCCTTTGATTCTGTGTATACCATCAAACATCAAGCCTCTTAGATTAACCCTAATCATCCTTAATCCTTCAAAATCCTCTGGGCGCTATGGAAGACTTTCCAGGATTCAGGCTGCATGGTAAAATTGCACTGCTGATTACAAAGGATGCATTGTCTCAAGCTTGCGGGTTAGAACTTGTGTTGTTTGTGGTCAGCCATGCAGAAATTCACACCCACATTATATGTGAGACCCTCCATACTGCTCCAGGATACCAGTCACACTGCCTCAACATAATAAGAATTGCTGAAGGATTTGGAAGGATTGAGGCAGTGGGCACCGCTCCCCAGAACATATTCAAGAAGTACCAGAGGATTTTGGACTTAGGCTGTATCCAATATTTTCAAGGGGGCAGTTGGAGGATTTTGAAGGATTGAGGGTACCTATCCAAAAGGGCCTAGGCGGTTAGGATTAATGTCACCCACTATGCAGATTGCACATTCCTAGTATTGGCTTCGTACATTCATGCATTTGGCAAATACAGAGAAGGAAATTCCAAATCTGCAGTCTTTTTGAATTTGTAATTCCATGAGCAGAAAGAGGAAATTAGCTGATTCAAGGAAAAACTGCACAGGAAGATGTGTACATAATACCAAGTTTACCAAGGACTTACCCCTAAAAAACCCAAAACATTTTAAAGTTGGAGCATTTGATCAGAACTTGTTTTACATAAAATGGTATTGGCTCCTAAGATAATCTAAATACATGTGTCCTGCTGAATGTTTTGGCCCGCTTAATTAAATCTGTTCTTGTTTGAACAATGGGTTTCAAGAAGATATCATGCCTACCTTCTAATGACATGTAGTTTCGTGTTAGGAACCTGCAGTCATATTAGTAACCAAGTTAACATCGGCCTTTTCTCAATACATGATCTCAACTCTTATTTGTATTAGAGGCTACTCAGGAAATCCTGGCTGCAGGACCTGAAGGCATTACATCACTGTCATTAGCCCCATGCATGGGTTGGAATGACGTGTAAAATTTGGAACAGACAAACAGTGCATTTTGACCCAATGTACGCTCCATATGCATCAACAGATTGAAGTACAAGTCTTTCTGTGACAACATAAATTCCTTTCACTGAACTGAGCCCATGATAATTCAATGGTACATGTAGGTTCAGTACTGGGGAACAGAGGCCTAGAGATCTTAAGCTCGAACACCTGGATTCTGTTAGATTGTTGGATTCAAGTGTGTCCTAGAGGATTCGCCTGGGTACCATGGAGCTTGGAATACCTGGGATGTGGAAATGAGATCAGGCTTAATTAATTAACAAAGCTGGGGTGATAGGTACAATGAATATGTAGATCTCATGACAAGTGAAACATACCATGCTTATATCATGATTTTGTTGATGAAAGCTTGTAGCACCTACTGAACACACAAAGGACATTGGAATCTACAAATGGGCAAGAAACAGACTATGTATGTACAGTGTACACACTTGTACCATCCATTGTTTGAGTTGCTAGGCAGGATTTTACAAACTACATGTACCAGTGCCAAAAGCATATCACTCTTGCACAGCTGACCAGCAAGCAAGTTTAGCCCCCCAATCCACCCCGAGTTGAAGCGCACCCCCAAGCGGCAAAAGAAAGACAGATGGTACATGTAGTAAGTTTTCCAAGCAGGTTCTTGCACACGTTCTGCGTGTACCCAGAGACCATGCATTAAGGAATAAATTGATAGTACGTGTACTCACCGTACTCCGCGTCAAACGTGCCATTAATCTCCATTTATAAATGCGCGCCTGTGCAGTGAGTACTGAAAAAAAAAACACGCCCTCTTTTGTTCCGCTCGGAGCAGATATATTGACACTAATCCAAGCAATCCAACCATGTCAGTGCTCACACTTGATTACTGCAGAGTGATTTCATAATCCAATAGTCACTGACTACTTGGGCATGCACCCAACATGTCCGATCTCTCAGGTAAAGCAGGTCCATGCAATGTCAGCAAATAAGAAAACAATGAAGAGAAGAATATAACTGATGAACTGATAAAAGAAACAGGTCTACTATGAAGGTTTTGTCAATCATATAAAGGCAAATGCAACCTTTCTGGTTAGCCCAGTCTCCACTTTTAGTTCTCAGCTTTTTCCTGTTTTGCAAAGCCAATATGGTGCTCACATTGTACAGTGTCCTCAGACCTCCAGTACAGAAGTCACTCCTTTGGTCAGTTGGTCAGCAGCACAAAGATACACAGCTCTCCCACTGTATACTGCAATAGACAACCCCTCAAAGGGGTATCAGATTGCAGCCTGTGCTGTCCTACAACTGCGCTTCAACGTTTCTTGGGAATAATGGCGGAATAACTAAACCAATTGTAGCGAATTCGATGTTTCTCTTACACAGTGGCAGGTCTTAGCGTCTCCAAACTATGATAAAATCACTTTTAAATCTTTAGAGGGTACTTTCGAGTTGTTGATGCTTCGTTGTATGTGTTGACGCTTTTTGGCGCTAAATAGCATGACCAATATTATGAGGGTTTACAGTCGGGAAAAACACTATACTACACAAAATACTACACATGATGTCAGAAGTGTGCCTGGATAAATTCCCTGTGATCTGGTGATGCACCTTTTCTTCCAAAGCCTAGGCCTAATATTCTTGAATGTTTTACATTCAATCCTACATTTAAATGCATTTTCCTGATTCATGGTTCTGTGACAATGTGAATAGGCCTAGGCCTACAAAAAAAGGCACCAAAGAAGGGTCTGGGCCTAGGCCCTAGTCAGTGAAAATCTTGAAGCCCCTAAAAAGTAAAACATTGAGCATGTTCAATCTTATCCACTGACTTAGTAAAGCAGGTCACTTGTTTAATGTTTGAAGTGCGGCCAACAAGGTTAACTCCAGGCAAAAAAAAGGCCTATCAAGTTTGGCCTAGGGCTTATGCCTTCTTCATAAGCAGCTGAATAAAACTATTTTAAACCTATTTCGTGTATTTAGGCCGAGCATTTCCCCAGGTTGTGCATTCTTAATGTCCCACAGTCATGACAGTACATCATGACCTGTCTCATCACCGTCAAGACCGAGGCCCTGGGATGTTACAAAAAGGAATGTGGCCCGACTAATTCATCAATTTTTTTTTGAAGATTTTGCCATGTACCTGTGCAGCACTTCGCCAAACTGGCCGGGACAACATGACAAAAATAAAAGCCGACCACTCCTGGCTATGATCCAGCAATGACGACACAAGTCATGCAAGTGGTGTAAAAAAACGTGCATGACATGAGGTACGTAACCCGACGTGACATAGTGCCACAGCGGCCTTCTCACACAATACGTCGAGAACGACTCCTAACAACCAGAATTCATTTCTCTCTGCATTCACGTCTAATTTCAGCCGGACCTTACCGTCATATCTCTCTGCCTGTTCGGCCAACTTAGCAGTGTACACGAGTGACTCTCGTTCGGTATCATCCATGATTAGTACCTAGCTTTATTTCAGAGGATAAAGCACTAAGAATTGAGTAGTTTTTCGTGAAATTTGAAAGCAGCTACAAGATAGAATCGATAACCACACCCGGTGACCCGCCAACGATGAACCTAGTTCCGGTTAACTTAGGTGCTTCGTGTTAAAATGCACCACAATGAAAAGGGGGAAGCGGTGTTACGCCGTTTAGACTAGACTCCTTTCAAGCACTTCCGAATTTCATCTATCAGGGAAATCTTCGAAATGGTAATTGTTGTATATCCATTTCTTCCGGGTTAAATTTACTTTTAGATTGAAATTCTCAATTGAATTTGAATGAATCGAGTAAACATCATGCCAATAGTCGATAATTTTGACTTGAAAGTTCTGATGCATTAATACAAACAGAAAGTTGCATGAAATTGTAAAAAACAAAAGTCAGCACGATTGGCAGAGTGGTGAAGAACTCCATGGATATCCAGTGAGTAGATCTGCACTTAGTTGGGAATTATGTCCAGCTCTATATGACGAATAAACATTAGCTATCGGTTCCAAAAGCTATGCCCAGTGAGATGTTATTCGAGAACAGCTGTACGCGCGCGCCTCACGTACGTGCGCGCTTCTTTCCTAAAAGACCTTCGCTCTTTGAAATACATACTGTACATGTACATACAGTACATACATACATGTACCTATCTAGCGTATTGCATGCAACGCGCATGTGTGAGCGCCATTCGTGCGCGAAATTCTTTATGGGTTCGCTTTTCAATGTGACACCAAAATCAATCAGGAAGCTACATGTGGGGAAATGTCAACACGTCTCATCAGTTTCTTTATCTCCACCAAATTTTCCCATATTCGTTTATAAAATAAATCACACTATAAAACGACAGAATGAATTCTGAGGGACAAATCTGTTACACAATGAAGTGAAGTTTGTCTTCCGCAAAATGACAGGGAACTATTTTCTTGCGCAACTGCGGATATTTTGACCTTATGTTAGTCTCCATCACAGTCGTTAAGCCAAAACATACTGTAAACTGTGTTCACCAGCACTCCTTATGCTCATGAGTACTATGGGCGTACATGTACATTTTTGGGGTTAAGTTGAAATTAATAAAGGACAGAAATGAATCATTAACCTTTGTTACTTGTCATGTGTGAAAAAGTGGGAGAAGGTGCTAGGACATTTGAGGATCGTGTGAAAGGAGATCTTGAGTCGCCTGCATTGAGCCTGAGATTCTGCGTCGCATTGCACGGCCATGACTTTTACACAAACATTTGAGTCTGAATGCTTCATCCTAGCTTTGATCCTCCCCACCTGGTCATATCAGGACATAAACGTACATGACATACGACATACATGACTGTAATGAAACCGTTTGAATGAAGGACAGACTATTATTTAAAAAAAATTTTAAATGGTTAACGTCATTGAAAGGCTAACTTCCTTCATAATAATTCAAATGCATAACAGAATCACCATTGCTCAAACTCAAGGTCCTAAAAACAAAGACAAGAATGCAAAAAGAAACAAACCTCAGAAAGTGGACTTTGACATATTGCTTGTTTTTTAATCCACGGCTCCACTTATGACTGCTCTTCACGTACATTCAATATTTAACCCAAAAGGTCACTAGCAAGCACATTCAGCGTATAATGACAAATTTCCACGTCAAGTTTTCAATTATTTTCATTTCAATCACTAACTTACATTATGAGACGTTTTGCAAGTTCTTGAAGATATTTTGGTTAACCCAAACAGTTTATATATGCAATTACTAAAAGCAACATGGTCAATTTTGTTTCAAGCCATAAAGCATAAGTGGGGACAATTTATTCCTGTATCACAAACTTTGAAAAAAAAAATTATAAGGAAAAAAAAGCTGAACAAAATGAAAGACTAGCAGTCTTTGCAGATTCTCAGAAAATGTCAAAAAAAGCCTGTCTGTAACACACATTAGGTGTTCATGTTGTCGTTACACTGTGATAGATTCATTTCTGTCCACCAGTTACGTAATATGGCTTGACTTGGATGTGTATACTTGAACAGGTTCAGTTAATACCAAGGGAAACATGCCCACGACTACAGAAACAAACATTAATGCACTCTTCCTCACAAATCCGCGAGTTCATGTGCTTCAGAACAGAGCAAAGTTTTAGAATAAGTTGAGTGATCATGACAAAACTGGAAACACTGTTTTGAAAATGGGGGGAAATATGCATGATTGGGTATGAAACTGAATGTGGCATTAGTACAGTATAAGAAGATGATTCAAAACTAAATAAGATGACTGCAGGTATGATGGGTATGAGACAGGAACTAGAGTTTGTTTGTCGCTCAAGGCCCAAACAGGGCCCTGGAAGGGGCTGATGGCCTTGCACAGATTTTAGTAAGGAAATACATCACATGGGGTGACAGCTAACGACGCACAGAGAATTGTGGGTAAATTTCTGCCTGGCCCGTGAACTCGCTCAGTGCATTTTCTCCCCCAATTTTTCTTCCTCATTGCAGAAATTAGTCTCGCAACACTTTATTCGTTCATCCAAAATTGATCAAGATAACCAATGATTTGAAATATATCGCCAAACGATACTTGATCAGTGATACTTAGTGAGAAGATAAATTAAAACACTGTGGTTGTACCAAGGCCATGTTTTTATGATATAGCCTACACTTTGGCTGTGCCAAAGCATTGCCATTGGCGAACCAAAAAATTTAAATAACGCTTCGCCGACAGGAAGTGATAACCTCACGGTCGCAGGTTGTGCACAATGTAGCCAATCACAGTTCAAACCCATCAGCCCTTCCCAGCGCCCTGTTTGGGTGCCAGGCAATGAGCAAAGAACAAGAGCTGATGTCAAACAGCCGGTGTGGTATGGGCCTTGAGCTGGACCAAGAGAGGGTGCTGTTTCCTTGGCACTGGAGGCTCCTTTGGTCAGAACTGAACTTTGCCGGTTCACCAACGACTAGGAAATGGACATGTCATGGTCGCATTGCTACCAACAAAATCAACCAATGCTGCTATTTTCAATCAATGAGGGGGTGCTTCTGCTCGAGGCGAATTGCGCAGGTACAACACTACTAACCCAAAAGATAATACTTTGATAGAAAAATCCCACCTATCTTGGCTCTAGAAATTTCAATCGGTAACTAATGAGGAAAGTGATTGCTGGTTTCTTTGAAATCTCAGTAGAAAGGTTTTGTTTCCATAGTAAGTGGGTCTACACCTCTGTATAGGCATAGTATGTTCACCCTGATCATGGCAGTAAGTCACCCATGAGGCCTTGCATTTCCTTTGAAGAATTTTGAAGGATTAGTGGTCGACAGCACCTTTTGTGATAATTTCTAGGTGGCCATTACACAAACTGATCGAAAGGGATTCGTTTCTTTCAGATATGCTGTTTCCGTCCCAAGTGCCTTATGATTCCTTCAATATGCAGCCACTTCTTACTGTAAGGGGTTCGCTTTCCTCCACAAAGAATGCCGGTCACGCTAAAATGCAACTCATGGAGTGGCCAGCATACATGCACAAACACAAAAATAAAATACGCTTCTACACACTGTACAGGGACCGAAACTCATCACAGGCAAAATTTGACAAGCCTGAATTCATTGTTGTGCGTTGCCATGCCAATGGATTATAATTAATTTATGACGGGCAGACTGTGTGGAGGAAATACAATTTCTGATTATACAAATGCATTCTTTTCATTCCGGCAAGGGTAACGACGAGCGTCCACAATAAAATTGAATACCCCCCCTTGTCGTAAGTCCCCCCCCCTTGTGCTAAGTATGACGACAGCAATGTTATTCCCCTACTCCACAGTGACCCCGCCAATCTCCCGGGCTATGCTCTGGATTTGGACCGTGAATCCATCCCCCTGGTGGTTGGCACTCTGCTGCAGGGCAAACTTCTTGTTGTAGCGGTGCCGTATCTTGGCGCGGAGCTTCTTACGTTGCCGGTCCAGCGACTTGTGACTGTCGCGGAACCGTCGGATCTCCTCCTGGGAGATGACCGGCTCCTCGTCTGACGAACACGAACCCTGCAGGAAAATTTAAAAATTGACAACTTGCATTGCTATTTCCATGAATCTAAACTGACGGGAAATGAAAATGCCCCAATGAAATTATTCAGAAAATTGGTACTTCAAAAAATAATCAACTCTCCTATTCAGAATGATATCCTTCTTTTTACGGCTTTCACCGTAACTTGGTTTGAAGGACCATCTATCCAGGGTGTAAGGACACAGAATGGTACGCTAGATTTTCAAGACCCACCTCTAGCATGTCCTGCAGTGTGGATGTCCAACCTACAGCACGCCGCAGCTGAGCCTCTGTGGAACACTGGCAGATTTTTTGGACCTGGTCGACTTCTTTTGTTACCTGGGAATGAAGAACAAGACAGCCCGTAGCATTAAGTGGGAAGGGCAAAATTTATTCCGGTCAAGAACTTGAGTTAACAATTGAGCTTTACAATTTCAAACCTGTTGATAAAAACAAAGTCATAGTTTTAACTGCTCAGTAGGAATGCAAGTGATGATGGGATTTTTAGCCTATTCTGCGGTATTTTTTAAACCAGTGGAACTCTGCAAATATAAGAGAACAGCTGCTAACAGGTTAAAGAAAGATATTTGTACTTGAAACGGCGATGTCAAAATGCCTGAATGGTCCCAGCAAAATAACTGGTGAGAATTGCCTATGGTCTAAAACATGTGAGCACTTGAATGGTTTACACACACTTGTAATATGTTGACATAATGTAATCAGTGCATGTACATGTATACCAGGGAAGATTTTGCTTTAACAAGGGCTAAGTATGTCGATGCTCAGTTCTCCCTTTAACTTCTCAGAGGGAGGAGGTGGTAACCAGCGTAGAATCGAAACCTTTTATTTCATTAGTAAGCTGTCGTTATCGACATCCACAACTGGAGGATACCAGCAAAATCGCACTTACAGTGAAATGTCATAAATTCTCCAAAGCAAGCTACATATTCATAAAGTCTTTAAAAGCTGCTCCTGTCATTCCAGTATCTTGATGGAACTTGTTTGGTTCAATTCTACACACCTCCTGCTCTTCCCCGCAGTGCACACAGTCGAGCGGCTTGCCTCCGTCACACTTGGGAAGCTGGGAAGACGATCTATGGTTGGAATGACACAGTGAGCTATCCAGGCAGATCTCGTCTTGTTCCTGGGACAAATCCTGGCTGCAAGAGTCTTCCTGTAAATCTTCACCTTCAAGTAAAAAAAAAAAAAAATGATAAAAGCACAAACAAGCACCAATGCATCTTCCTATTCCTTTTAACCCCTTGACAACGGGAATTCCCGAAAGCCGACTCCAAGAATTCCAGCCTTGCTTGGCCACGAAGGCCACCTGCCAAACCGCAAATTCTCAGTTTGTGGCCTTGAATGCTCTGCACACTTTGAATTACACGGTGAAGAGGCTGATTGTTCGGTGGCATGCGGCTCTACTCACACTTCCACATTCCCATTGCCTCTTTTCAAAGTGGGGACTATTGTGAAGCTGATGATTATGATGCAAAATCAGTCTTTTCATTTCTGGGCTACGCACAAAGACCAATTACATGTATCATATATACAAGAGCCAGGGTCTGCCTTCTTTCACCGTGTTCGCTCGAGCGTGGGCCGAGAATAATAGCTGAAAAGCAGGCTGAGGATCTCAATTTTTACGGCGGCTACAGCTGCTTCCCGGCGCAAAGGGGTTAAATTTGAGGTTTATTTGATATAAGGGAAACGCTCCAGTAGAGGGAGGGAGAGACCCTATTTCCACTGCCTTTCCGCTGTTTACATTTCAACACCTTCCCCAGCTTCTTATCTGTTAAATCTTTTGGCCAAACAATTGCCTGAGATCCTTGAATTCACTGGAACTTCTTTCCTGCACAGAAGTGTGAAGTGCCATACAGGATACAGGGGTGTGAGTGGCCACTTAAATTTAAAGCTGAAAACAGCTAGCAAACAGCTAAAATGTAAGTTCAATACGTTTGTACACAGCAGGTGCACAAAAAAAGGCAAAAATTGAGGGTCAACATCTCAACAAAACAATACAGCACTTACACTTTAAAGGATTACAACAACAGAAGCTTAATCCTATTGACACAAGATGAACAATGTAAACAAATGGACAGGCCAAAAAGCTGGCGTTTTTTCCAAGCCTTCCAACTCGGAAACTCTCTTGTGGGATGTGGACAGCATGAAGATATGTCTATAGGCCTTTTGACACTACAGCCTCTCAACCCTGGGCCAGCCCATGGCTGCCCTGGGTTGAAAATTGAATTTTTCAACCCTGCATTCAGCCCAGCATAGTTTCACACTTGTTTCGTATGAATTAGGCTTATCAGGGTGAGTTCGACCCAGAAATAAGCACAAACAATTTTCAACCCGGGTTGAAAATCTCAACCCTGGTCCAGAGCAGGGTTGAGTTCAACCCAGGTTGAAGTCAATCTCGGGGTTGACGCAGGGTTGGCACAAGGTTGAAAATTGTCAAGTGTGAATGGCTGCCAGTTTTCAACCCAGCTTCGACCCCTGTGTCAACCCCGACATTTGTCTAGAGTGAAAAGGCCTCATTGCACACATTTCTAAGAAATAATACACAAATCGTACAGGAACTGTTGGCATCTTTCATTTTTGCAAATCCAGAACTCAGTGCTGACCTTCTCGGTATTAAGTTTGTTGACGTGTCAATAAATGCTAATGTTGGGCCGTGGTTTTATGTTATTCCCCTTTGTATCAATCATTGAGTCATAGGACACATTATTATAATGCAGCCCACATGGTTCTGGTTATGGAACTATTTTTAATTGTGGCAGTTGTACACACTAATGACGCGTAAGTAGCACGGTCCCTATTTTTAGCGATAAATTAGCTGGATCATTGTTATGTTATCATGCTGTTTAGAATAACATTGTTGTAGGTTTGTAACATTTTTAGAAAGTGTAAATCCCAGTGAGAAATCTTGGGGATATTCTGATTGTTGATTCCACAGAGGGAAGTTACACTGGTAGTGTCGCGCGGACAACCCTCGTGCTGTTTCAATGGACGCTGGCTGACGAGACTTTGTCCATCACTCGTAACTCAAAAATCCTCCAAAACACTATTATATTCATAAGACACCCTGGGAAGCCGAGCGAGTAAACCTTTTATATGATGTACAAGAATTTGGTTTTGGATGGACGTTATCAATCTCGGGAATGGGTTGTATATTGCAAATCTCTGCACAATGTGGTGTGCACTGTGTATATGACCGTATGGGTTACGCTGCTTCATGTGCGTGCATTATGTGAATTATATTGTGTTACATTGTAAGTCTGTAACTGCTTGTAACATAACTGAGGCAAGGATTACTGTTTGAATATGTGATGCATATTGTTAACGAGGCTAATCTCACATCCATGCATGTCGTAACGATGGCATGTTTACAATCTACATACATTCTGTCATTTATTTTCAGGGTGTTTATTTGTTGAGGGCTTCCTACGGGGCAACCTTCTTTGCTCTATGCTTCAATAAAACTGTCAGTCAGCTCCCAGCTGTGTGTCTTGGTGTCCTTCGACCCATTTGGTGCTGCATCCCTTACCTGGGATTAACCTTCACCCAACTGCCACTAGTTTCTATTGAGAATAGTAAACACCCGTGAGAGCGCCCACGCACGCTCCGAGTCCCAACACTAACTTTAAATGCAGATCATACTTTGTTACCGGAGTGTCTGTTTGAAGTGTAACAAACAGTACCGGTGGGAGGATTTCTATTCCTTCTTAACACCAACAAACCCTTGTTTCAATCTTTGTCCAGTTCTGTCTCAGGTATCATCGGTCCTTGTGATGGATAAATAAGGTCAAAAGATGCGCTCAGTTGTAAACTACAACTTTGTACAATCCCAATTGCCTGTTAAGACCTAACGATTCCTCAAATCCATCACACCACTGATTTTGCATTGTTAAAGACAGTATGACCAAGGCACGATTACACCACATGGCCTTGAAATACCCATTTAGTTATGTACCCAATTGTTCCAACCATTTTCTACCCAATGACTGATCTTGGCCAAGTCAGGATGCCCCTCCCTAAACCAAATGCTCAAATATTCAGCTTCTTCCCTACGGAGAGGCTGAGCCAATTCTCTGCCTACCCTGTATTGACCCCCTGTCATGGTTACACAGGCCCTCCGAGCACGCCACCTCTGAACTCTCCCGCGAGCTGTGGCCGCAGTCTTCCCCACAATCGATCCCGCTGGAGTAGTCCGGGTCGTTGCGTAACGAGTGCAGCTGGTCCTCCGTTGCTGGTGTCTGCAGGTGGGTGTCGCAAGCCTTGCACAGGATGTCCGTGTTGTCATTCTCGTCATGATCACACTACGAAAAAGTGCCAAAATAAAGAGTAAACTTGCAAGTCCTCGATTAAAAAATAGAAAAACTTATCTTGCCAGACTTCTAGAAGTTCTTAAACTAGCAGGTCTGTGGAGCATCCCTTCTCAAACTGAACCGTGAAGTTTGGCTCATGAAATGCAAACAGAATTTCATTTAATGAACGACACAAAAGCAATAATAACGACCAAACAAGGGTATCACAACAAGCAGAAAAGTTAGGAATACATTCAGAAATTTGTTGAATGTAAATAAGAACAAAAGCTGTCTGAATGAGCCAAGGGAAAACAGCCGTGATGTGGCATAAACATAACTAAACTAGCTTACGAAAGACAAAGAACAGGAGGAAGAGAAACCAAGCACAGGCAAGGATAACAAGAAGAAGGAAACTGTTTGCAAGTCATTTCACAACTGAAAATTGAGGGTAGTAAAGCTTCATCGTGAATTCACAAGGACTCGTTTGAAGACTAGATTGTGGTTTCTGCTCTTCATCAATTTTGAATATGCCCCCTACAACTGATGCTGTTCATCGCAGAATAACGTACCAATAAACTGTACGTGCCTCCAAGACACTGATTAAAATCACGTCTGCACATGCCAACACACGAGGCAATTTGCAACAGGAACTCCTGGAGAGACAAGGGGAGTTCCGACAACCAACATCCAAATCTTACCAGACATTTGCCTTCTCCACTCCCTTCCTGCTGACACTGATGTTCCACCTGACCCTCTCCAGGCTCCTCCAGAGGGTCCTGCCCCAGGGTATACCCCGGCCCCTCCCCCTCCGTCTCTCCACACTCTGCCGTGTTCTTGTTCTTCTTGCGGGCCTTGCGTCGCTGTTTCTTCTGGTCTCGTTTCTCCTTCTTGAGCCGGTCAGCCTCCGTGATCTCCTCGCACACTTGTTCCAGCTTGGACATACCCTGTTTCGCCTCCAGTGCCATCTTGGGTCACAAAATGTAAGAGCTAATATGTATACCTCATGCATATTTATGAGCCAATATGCAAATTTGATTTTACTGTATTCTACTATTTCATAAATGCTAAACTGCATGCAAGAACTACTACTGACATCTAAGGCAAACTTGTGAAGCCATGGAGGGCCATGTCACTCACGGTGCTGAGTACTGTGACAGATTTTCGACTGAATGGGCACAAAAACCTACCACCTTCATTGAAAATCCTAATGTATGGGTACTCAAATGAAATGGTACTAAAATGTCCATCAAATACAGAAACGTACAGCATTTCTATCACTGATGCCATTGTGACACACATTAAGATACCAACTTGTTTTTAAGCTAGTAGATATGATTTCTCATCAGCCTGTTCACAAGCCTGAAGGCAACATGTCTTTGTATTTAGCCTTGTCACTTAGGAACAGATGCCAAAGGGTTTTATTCTAGCTTCACACTGTGCTACCATCCACAGCGAAGTATAAATGGGTTAAAAGAACTGGCTAAGACGGAACCCATCAAATGCAAACAGTGATTTTCTTATTCTTTCATCCTATGAGGCCCGAGCGGGACCAAGAGAGGGCGCATTTTCCTGGCAACGGGGGGCTAATTTGGTGGAAACTGCACTTGCTTGTTTACAAACGACTATGAAACAGATCATTTTATAAATTAGTGGTCCAATTTTTTTTGTGTCCCTGTCAAATCTGACATGATTTTGTATGTTCAGAAGAAATTCTCTCATTTCAACAAGTGATGAATGAATGCAAACTACCTGCCAAATAAATTTCAAAAGTTTAAAATCAATTTCAGTGATATTTCCATGTCAAATTACACCCATCAGGAGTAACAGGGACACAAAAAGTCACACTTTTGGACCCCAAATTTATAGAATAACCCAAATGCACGCATTATGGGTACATCGCCAACAACAAAATTAACACTCCCCACCAACATGGCTCTTTTCAACCAATGAGGGGGTGCTTCTGCTCGAGGTGGATACGTCATATCCTAATTCTCACTCTCAAGACCCCACAACCTGCGCTCACCTCAAGTGCCTTCTCCAGCTTTTGAACTCCGACATGGAACAGCAGCAGGAATGTCTGCTCCTCGGCGCGCAGGTTCTGCCAGATTTTGTGAAGCCGCTCGTAGAGGTGTAGCCCAAGACACGTCAAGACTTCCTCCTGCGCTATGTCAATGGTCTTAGCGTGTCTTTCTCTCCGTCTTCAATACAAAAGTTAAAAGGAAAAAGACACTTGATTTGTTATCCAATCAAAGCAAGATGGGCCACCTATACATCAAGAGGCTAAGATGAGTAGATTACTTAAACACGTTGTATTGCTTAACAAAATTCAGTTAAGGACCACTGGCAAGTAACAAATAGTAGGATTTTTAACTGACAAGTTGTTTTTGCTTCTGTCTGTGCTAAGTGGATGGGTGTGCTTAGGAAATCCTGACCAAGTTTAACATAAATATGAAAAAATGTATTCATGTGAGAAAGAAAGTGATCTGAGATACAAGATGTCTCTAACGCCCCAATGTCAATTACAGTAACTTTTGGTTACTACTACCGACGGTCAAATATGCACGGAGGTCCTGTCCAAATCCGACATTCTCTCCCCCAACTTACATTCCGTTCAGTTCTGGCTCTGCTCTAGCTATCAGCCGTCCGATGAAGTCTGTCTCACACAGCAGGTGGACATGTTTCTCCCGCGGACAGCACCGTATGCCCTCATAGAGTGCACTGCAGTATCCCTTCTCCTCGCAAGGCTGGACCTCTCCTACCAAGATGCTGTAGGCCCGCATCACCTTGGTCTTGCATTCCCCACAAAACCTACAAAATGGAACCGCTTGAATAATTCATCCACTCTCAGCTTTTTGACTACACCATTCAGCTTCAAGGAATTTTGTGGAGTGGCTGGTGTCAATTTGGAGTCATTTAGTAATGATTTGAATGTGAACAATATTTTCATTCCCGGAAATCATAAAAATCCACTGCCAATGAAACGTGAATTAGCTGGTTGCTTTCAGGTACACCCGCGTACAAGTAACTATTCTTTTAAGAAGTACGATATCGAAAAGAACTGGTGGAGAGAGTATGTGACTTTTCTTTTCAGAACCACACTTTTTCAAAGAGATACATACACATGACTGTGCTTGAAAGCTATCGCTTAGTACCACACGGTGCAAAGCTTCTAATCATACTTATGAATACACAGCAAATAGAGCAAGTCCCAAGCTACCTTCTATAGCACTAATTCCACAGAAAGGCTTTTTCTTCGGAACCTTCCATCTTACAAAATCTTCCACTGTGCAGGAAACCAATGGCACATTCTTGGCCCAAAGTGAAGTAACAGAGGCTAAGCTCTACTTTCTTCAATCTTCCCAAACCTTCTCACTGATTTTAAAGGATACGGGAGGGTAGTGGTCCATCCTGGTCAATTATGTAACACGGTGGTAACTGTAAGTTGAATTGCATAACTTACCTTGCAAAGCCTCAAAGTACAGTTTTGTGTGGTTCTGATATATCTTTTAACCCTCCTTTGGTTTTACAGCAGAAATATGCACAAGTGCCCAAGGTCACTCTCTTGCATGTTGGTGCAGTGCAAAACACAACACAACTGTGCTTCTTTGAGGTGTTTACCAAGTGACCCAAAGAGTGACTTCAGCATAGGAGGGTTAACCATGTTTTCTCAGGTACATGTCTGCTTCCGTTGTGCTACGCAGACCTGTAAATACAGTTTTATGTTGTTTTCTGTTTCACCTGTGTTTTCTTAGGTAGGCTTCCGTTGTACTGTGCAGACTGGATGCCTGGACTAATGTCACCTCTTCCCTACACGGCTTCTCCATGACCTCCCAGATGTCAATCCACGTCCTGCAATCAGAACCAGAAAAAAACATGACTGCAGCAGACATCCTGTCGTGCCCTCCGACCCCACCTTCCTGGAGAACTGTAGCAAGGAAGCTACCTGAATCGAACGTACCGCACCGCCGGCCAGTCAACCGATGGTGCAGTTTTGTAGCCGAGGATTCTGGGACGTGTGAAGTAGCAGTTCCACGGATGTTGAGTTCTGAATCCCTCAACATGAGGACTTCATGAAATTCTGGCAGACTGATATAGTATTTATTATGCCCTCTACTGTCAACACACACTTTCCATTTCAATATTTAAGTTACCCATTGCCGATCAAAGTTTTTCTCCTCTAGAACATAATATTTAATGTAAATTTCTTTTTAAAAATGTTCATTATTAGCAAAATATCAAATCCCAACTTACTATTTATTTTGATTGAAAATCCAATCTGAACTTACGATATCTGTTTGGTCTTGTGATTATCAAGTGAATGTAGGACACAGCGGCGATTCTTCTTGTTCTTGTGGAGTGTGTTGACCAGATCTTCGAGTTTGGACCTGACGGATACCATACATACAGATCATTATCATGCCAACTATTGCTGTAATACACAAACCAAGAGCCTCACTTGTTTGCTTTTCAATAACCAATGAAATACCTTAGCCAATTTTCTCACTTTCAACCCCCTTACTTCATTACAGCCTGCATTACTGGAAACCACCCAAGAACCCAATGCTTTTCCTGGATTCACCAGTGAATAACTACTATGCAACAGAGTGTGGTGGAGGTGTAAAGGCTTAACCAAGAACCCCAAAACCCAAAAATGAGATGGCTTCTTCAACTGAATTCAAGTCGATTTTTGAGTATCCACCATACACTATAAAAGTATTTATGCATCCCTAGGGATTCCATTATTTCCCATTCCTAAACCACAGAGCGTGATACATTATACAAGTTGCTGTAAAAATGTGCAATATGTGGAATAAGCCACTGGTAAAAACTTTTGTACAACTATGAGAATGGTAATGAAACCTTCTTGTTACCATGGTAATTGATTTGACTTATGCACTACTTACACAGTCAACTCTTGTAATCACGAAACCCATGGGACCCATTGAAAATGTATTGTTACTTTATCATGTAAGGGACATTCCCAGAATTTAAATTTACTGAATCAATTCTTTCTGCAACCTTTCTGAACAGGTGCCACTAAAACTTTAGGGTTGAGTCAATTTTTCACGTCATTGTTGTGCGGAGTCATCTAATCTTGTCTTACCCGTGTAGGTGGAATAGATTATACATTTTTCTGGGATCGTACAGCAATTCCGTCACCAGAGACAGTTCGGAGTGGCCTGTGATCACCAGAGGCTCTAGCGCCCTCACATGATGCTGGTCCCGCAGTCGTGTAAACATCTGCTCCATGCTGTAAAAAAGTGTCAATGCATCCTAGTTCTAGTCGTCGATATCAATCAAAAGGGGACTCTCAAGGCAAACAAACAAAACTGTCAAGCTCTGGATTGGAATGTGTGACCTCAAGAACACTGTGCAGGTGTTCTATCTAACACAGCTGTGCTTCTTTGAGGTGTTTACCGAGTGGCCCAAAAAGTGACTTCAGCATAGGAGGGTTAATAAGCTTGAAACTTGCTGAGTACACAAATATTTGCTTACCAGACACGCTACTAACCAAAAAGCTGTGGTATGCATATTACTGGTGACTGGAGCTCTGCCATTTTGGGGTCCAAACACAAAGCAAGATTTTTCTTTCTAAGTAGCTACGAGATATTGGGTTCCAATCCCAAATTCGCAGCACAGCAACGCTAAGTAACACCACTTTCCAATCACACAATTCAACTTAATTAACAGAGACTGGCTCGCACAAAAGCTGTCTGCTTCGACAAAGTTAATTTGTGACCGGTGGCAAAAGCAGATTCATGTAGCTACAGCATGCGGAGGACTTCACACAATTTTTCAAATAATCCTGGCGCTGCCCTAATTGTCTAACATAGTTGATAATTTCTGCCACACGTGAAAACGTCTCACTGTCTGGAGGTGCAAGCCCAGATTGATCTGCAGACGTTGATAGGATCTGTAAGATCTTACCTCCTTCGGCAGCCAACGCAAGGGACGCTCTCCTGCATGGTGTGACCAAAGAGTTCCTTGCTGGGAATCATGACAGCTGCTGCCAATTCATCCCGGCTCAAGGCACTGTACTTCTATAATGTGGGAGGGGGAGGGAAGGGTTACAGTCCAAGAGACTCCTTGTTTTAATGGACTAAAATCAGCCCTTGTTGACCCTTGACCTATAACATCCCATGTCTGCTATATATCTTTACACTTCCTTGACGGCATTTACTTGACATAGTTTTGATACTGGATCTAAAGGTGATGTGTGTGAATGCAACAAAACCTAGGATTCTGAAGAAGAGGTAGGTTTTAACATAACCCAAATTGTGCAAAATTGAAGTGGCGGTATAAATTGTTTGAGGCATTGTAATGCATGAATTCTACTACATGAAAACAACGGATCTGTTTACTTTTTACTCTGATGAAATTATGCTACATTCATGGGTACAAAAATGGACAGTTTTAAAAATATTAAAGGCTACCAGGAAATTCACAAACTTTACCAATGGCTTTTAACTTGGCTTGTCTGCTTTTTATAAAGGATTTCCAGTCACATGATTTTTGACGATCAGTAATAAGTTAGAGATGAGCAGGGAAATGCACGTACTTCGTAGTCTCTTAACATTCTAGTGTACATGAAACTGCCAATAGAACTATACAGATTTTAAAATGCATGCGCACCTCCACGGACATGGTGCGCTTCCTGAAATGCCTTTGCCCATCATGTTACCTCAGGTGAAAAACCTCTGCATGTATACTGGCCTCAATGAATCAAATTTTGTGTGCAGGTTTACTTACCTCAATAAAGGAATCTATTTCTGCATGTTTATTCCTATTTTTCCCCTTGGTGTGGTCACACTGGTCATACTTGATATCTGACAATTCCATCACCATCTACATGTTAAAAAATAAAGAAATCCAGTTATGTCAAGCATCAATGACGCTAATGGCTGACACTGGTCTATTAGTTCATCTAATGTACATGTAGCTTCTTTGGGAAATCACATCACTACAAAAAAAAAGAAAAAGTCTCCAGTTTTCCAGTTTGAACAAGTCATGCTCCAAGCTTCCGATCTAGCCCTTCCTGTGTCTCTTGAAATAATGTCATAATCTATCAAAGTCCACATCCTGTTTGGGAAATTCATTTTAAGAGGGCTGACCACTTGATGAGTCCGCTTGATGACCGCTTATTCAAGTCAACTTGGTCCAAAACTGACTGTCCGAGTAAATTAGGTCACAGGTCAACTTGGCCCAAGTAAATTCGGTCCCTGGTCAACTCAGTCTCTATGGAAAATGTACACTAAATCTCAACTAGCTTGAGCCGGAAACAGACAAATCCTTGCAAGCAATGATGTTGCTGAGTGCAAGGCAACATTCACTAACAGCACCACATTAATCACAATTATTTATTAAAAAAAATTAGAAATGTAAGGATTGGTAACAAAAACATTTGTTTAACATATGGCTAACACTGAGGCCTACACTCTAGACAAATTACATCATCCCATTTATAGGATGATGATACCGGCTGACTTTGCAATGTTCATTCATTTTGTTTTAGACAATATCTGCATAAATCCCTGTCATCTGATTGGTGGATCACATCACTATTCTATGGTACACGTTGCAATAGAACTTCACTTGACCGGTTCCGGCCCCATTTCGTAGACATGATATATTTCATTCACATTAAGAAAGAGGAACATGATGTAGGGACAAGACGTCAAACATTGAACAGTCCTGCCCATAGGTGGTGCTTCAGACACACATCTGTTTTACAGTATGATGGACCTTTATACGCACGGACAGTTTGTTCTAACAGAAGGGGATTAACCCTCCTTTGGTTTTACAGCACAAATGTGCACAAATGCCCACAGTCACTGGTGAGCATGTAGTTTCT